TGTGTGTGTGTAAGCCAGCTCTAACTAAAGCTACCACTCTGTTCCCTTCATAATGATTAAAACCTAGCAAGCCTAGAGCCAGAGAAGGGATCTCCACTAGGGAGGGTGTGAAGTGCGTCTTTTCAGACTAAACCCGAGGCAGTCCTCGGGAAATGTGACACTGGCCTTCCCCAATGCACTGGTCGGTTTGTGTCAACATGACACCAGCTAGGGCCATCTGGGAAGAGGGAGCCTCAAAGGGAAAAGGCTCCCATCGGATTAGGCTGTAGGCAAGCCTGTGGGCCGCAGCCCTCTGCTGGCTGTGCCACTCCTAGGCAGGGAGGTCCTGAATTAGACAAAACCAGGCTGAGCAAGTCATGGGGAGCAGGCCAGTAAGCAGCAATCCTCCATGGTCTTTATTTCATTTCCTGCCTGACTTTCCTCCATGCTGGACTATGTCATGGGAAGTCTAGGCCAAATAAACTCCTTCCTCCCCAAGTTCCTTTTGGGCATGGTCTTTATCATAGCAATAGAGAGCAACAAAGGACAGACTGACACTCTCCAATAGGGAGCCCATGCTGCCTGGACAGACTGACATTCTCCAATAGGGAGCCCATGCTGCCTGGACAGACTGACACTCTCCAATAGGGAACCCATGCCGCCTGGAGGCAGCCTCCCTCATCCACCATCCAGCCTCCTGGCCATATCCCTGCATTGCTCTGCGAATCTGGGTTCCCACACGGTTTGGTGGCTAAACAGGACAGCCCCCAGAGGCTTCTTTCACTGATGCCCACAAACAACAAAGACATACCACACCCCTGAACAAACCTCCCCAAGGGCTCCTTTCACCCTTGAATGAAAAACTCAAAGCTGGGCATGGTGATGCAATACCTTTAATCTCAGCACTTGGGGGGGGGGACAGATCCCAGTATGTTCCGGGTCAGCAAGGGCTACATAGTGAGATCTTATCTAAAAAAAAAAAAAAAGGAAGAAGGGGAGGTGGGCAAGGAGGAGGAGGAGGGTGAGGAGAGGAAGAAAATGAAATTCCCTGTTTGCCTCCTCAGTTTATCTGCCCCCCCCAAAAAAAAACCATCTCTGCACTGAATACAGCTAACCAACGCCTTGAACACAGGGCTCCCTTTCACTAGCCTCCTCTCCCGGGAACCAAACTCTTCCTTTTGGTGGTTACCCTAGGCCTTAATGGCTGCTCTCTCTCCAGCCCTAGCCTCCTCTTCTGGAACGGACTCCTCTGACCCATACCCTTCCACTGGCCAGGCTAACCCCTCTATTTTCCTTGTTTCTTCTTAGGCTGTAATTTAGCTCTTTATTTGAAAACTATCAGAGAGACACAGGAAAGCAGTTCTAAGAGGCCCCTTGTATCCACCACTCAGCTTCTTTCTGTAGTTACCATTTCACAGAACTCCAGTAAAGCATGAGGAGCAGGAACTGTTTCTGTGATTTGTGTGTACAGGCTGGTGCCACCTGACCACATGGACAGACGGGGTTTAACAACCGCCATCAAGATGCAGGCCTTTCCCACCCCCCACACTTTCGCCTGAGCCGGAATCGCCCTCTGCCGCCTCACCAGCCTGGACCGCAGGCAACCACCACTGTTTAATCCCTTCAATTTGCTGACTTTATTTATTTATTTATTTATTTATTTAGACAAGGTCTTGGGGACTGCAGTGATGGCTCAGAGGTTAAGAGCACTGCCTGCTCTTCTAGAGATCCTGAGTTCAATTCCCAGCAACCACAAGGTGGCCACAACCATCAGGAATGAGATCTGGTGCCCTCTTCCAGCATGCAGGCAGAACACTATATACATAATAGATAAATAATTTTTTTAAAAACGTGGACCTGTCCACCGCCTTTAGAAAAAAAAAGACAAGGTCTCAGTATGTAGCCCTGGTTGGCCTAGAACTCACAGATCTCAACTGCCTGCCCCTCCTAAGTACCACTCCTGCTCAGCTCTGGAATGTCCTTTGATAAAGTTACATAAGTAGAATCATATACTATATAATCACCTTTTTCCTTATATACTGTTAGCAAGATAGACTTCATATACTTCATCATTTCAAAGTACAAAATTAAGGGGTTTTCAGTCAGGATCTCTGTGCAG